TTATCACCCTTTGGGCCTGGAATTGAACTCACTCCCTTGGCTTCCAGCTAAACAACAGACAGGCCTAAAAGGTGGACAATTACACCAGGTAGATACACTCCTTAAAACAATCAACTACGGGAGATCAGAAGGGCAGCATTTGGAAGGGAGACAGCTCAGAGGGCTGGAATGCATAAGGAGGAGACAGGGAGGAAGTGGGAAGAGAGCTTTCACATTATGGGGATTACGATCAATGTCATAAAACAAAATGTGTATGAACTGTTGAATGGAAAACAAATTGCTCTGTAAACTTTCACCCAAATTAAAATAAAAAATAAAAATTTTAAAAAAGGAAAAGAAAATACTTGTCTCTAGGAAGTGAGGAATGGGGGTTGGGAGGGGGCAAGAACTCTTTTTCCCAATGAGATCTGTATACTGTATTTTTTCACAAATTGCTCACACACATATAGTGCTGAGACTCAAGGGAGTTTCACAATTTGCAAAAATTGCAAACCCCGTGAGTTATTTAAATAAAAACACGATAATTTTCTTACATTTTAAACTGTATGCTTGTATAACCAACTTTCGTACAAATAAAACCTAAATTCAAAAATAAATAGTTTCTCTCCGGCTATTTCTGAGCTATATAATAATGGATATCATCTTTTAAACTGAGAGTATACCTTTATTTTTGTTGCCCGCAAAGCTCCATCTATTCCAAAGGCTTCCAGAATTTCTATACTCCAGCCAAAACGTTTGTTTCCCCTGCTTTGTGCTAGTGATTTTGCAGTCATCACGAGTTCTTTGCTTAAAAATTCTGCTGATCAACCACTGGGTCATTTACCCCAGACTAATTATAAAAATAAATGACTCTTGTCCTGATTAAATACTGTTATCTCTATAGTTGCTCTGCAAGCCCAGATTAATGACATATTAATAACTAATGGGATAAAACTACAGTCGTTCATACAAAGTGTCTGTGTGTAGAGTGCCTCTGGTTCCTCATCTTTCATCTTTATGGAAGACAAAACAACTACATCACTCTGTACTGGTTTATATTACTTGCAAAATATATATTTTTTACCTTGCCGTTTAAAAAATACCTGCTCTCTTAAGTGTGGAATATTGAGGACAGCAGTTGACTATATAAGCAGATGGTTTTAAATAAAGATCATATATATATATATATATATATATTCAGGTGTATGTTATGCTTTAGGTGATATTATGACTTGGCTAATGACACTCCAGGGGCACACTGGTTATGCACTTGGCTGCTAACTGAAAGGTCAGTGGTTCAAACCCTCCAGGTGCTCCACGGAAGAAAGATGTGACAGTCTGCATTCATAAAGATTACAGCTTTAGAAGCCCTATGGGGCAGTCCTACTCTGTTCTACAGAGTTACTATAGGTCAGAATCTATTTGATGACAGTGGTTTTGGTTTATGTTTTATTAAAGACATGAGAAACTGTTTTTTTATAGTTATTGACATAGATGGGATCTAAGACAAATGGATAATAATGTCTCTTAGTTTTTCTATCTACAATACAGCACATAGCCAAACAAATATTTACTCATAAAACTTGAGATGGTGGGATTATGAACTGTAACCCTTTAAGAAATCCAAACATTTGTGTTCATTTTTAAAAAGATGCACTTAAGTCATATGAAGTGCTAAAAATGTTATCTCTAAAAGGGGGAAGGAGGGCTTTCTACGTTAACTCCAGATGTTTAATAAGAAATTTTCAAAGGCAAAATATGGTTGCATTTTGGGTGAGCACAGATTAGAACCACCAAGCATCAGCTTAAAAAGCCTAAACAGCCCTGATTCTAATGTAAGTTCATTGTTTCCCAGAGGAAGAAACTCAGGCTCAGAGAAGTTAAGTGACTTACACAGGCTACACAGCTGCTGAGTGGAAACACCAAATCCAGTGTTTCTGTCTCTCAGCCCAGAGTTCCTTCCCCACGGCATAGCCTCTCCTTCTGGGTAAAGATGATTCTATATATTCCTGTGTAAGGAGCCCTAGAGGCACAACGGTTAAGCACTCAACCACTAACCAAAAGGTTGGCAGTTCAAACCCATCCAGCCTCTCTGCAGGAAAATGACCTGGAGACCTGCTCCTGTAAAGATTTTAAAAAAGAAAGAAAGAAAATGCACTGCCACCAAGTTGATTCTAACTTGCAGAGACCCCCATTGGGTTAATAAGGCTATAAATCTTTACAGAAGTGCATTGCCTCATTTTCCTCCTGCAGAGCAGCTGGTGGTTTGAACTCCCAACCAAAGCCTTGCCTAGGAAATCCTGTGGGGCAGTTCTACTTTGTCACATGGGGGTCACTGTGAGTTGGAACTCACTCAAAGGGCATACAACAACCTAACAGATATACATATGCAGTGACAATGAAACAAAAAACAACCAAACTCACTGCCATCTAGTCGATTCTGACTCACAGCGACTCCTTTCGTGTTTCCGAGGCAGCAAATCTTTACGAAAGTAGATTGCCCAGTCTTCCTTCCTTCCGCAGAGTGGCTGGTGGATTTGAACCATCAACCTTCTGGGTAGCAGTTAAATGCCTTAGCCACTACGCCTAACCACTCTAATAAATCTCACATTTTTACTGAGCACTTAGTATGCATTTCCTGTGTGAGGGTGCTCCTACTACCCCCACTTCCCTGGAAGGAGCCTGAGCTTCAGAGGTTTAGCAGCAGCCTATCAAGCGGCTAAGTGAAGCCAGGTATTCCCATTGTGGAGTCCAACTCCACAGCCCCCGTTTTGGACCCTCATTAATACATAAACTGCTATGATGAAGTATGGGTAGCTCCATGTGTTTGTGGAAGAGCCCCTGGGAGCCTGCTTATCAAGCAACTTTTTCCCCTGAGAGTAAGAAATTTCAGTTTTATAAACACACACACACACACACACACACACATATACATATATACACACTGCTTAAGGGAAAAAAATATTTTGTTTCATATTTCTGTTGTAACCTGTAACATACACAGGTCAGCTGAGCAAATGTTCAACCATGAAATCCAAACTTGAGGGGAAAGAACAGAAAAAGCAGAGGGACTTGAGAACATCTCCCAGGCTTTGGGAATATATATATATATGGCAACAGCAGAAGCCTGCAGACAACTCTTCTGAGGCCCAAGGGTCCCTCTAGGGCACTGTCGCCGGCCCTTCTCCAGATCTCAGCCACCATTGTGAGGCTGACGGGCTCAGTGGCAAAGATCTGCCCTATCTGGGCTGACAGATCTCCTGGACCAAGGATCTCAGACCACGTGCGCGGTGGGTTACTGCGGGCAGTGGGATCCTCAGGGCAGGACGCCACAGGCGCGCGGGCAAACTGCGGGGTTTGCCCGTAACCGGCTTAGCGAAGCTGACACATCCCCACCCCGAGCCCACCTTGGGAATCACCAACTCCCCACCTCCTAGCCTTAGATAGCCAAGAGCTGAAGAAGCCTGTTCCGGGGGCCCAGAACAGCTCTAAATCTGCAAGGACTGCGATGACCTGGGGACTGGGGTGGGGAGAGAAGTAGATATGGGTTCCTCGCCGGGGCTTGGCCAGTTCGCAGCCGCTGGGCACAGATGCCCTTTTTCATAATCAGTAAAGTCGGCACCCCGCCTGCTTAGCTGGCAGGCATTCGGCACCGACAGCCTGGAGTTCGTGCGCTGAAAACTTGGCCTTGCACGCTGTGTGTCAACACCTCCCGCCTCACTCAGAGTTCCAGGTGGTCAAATCGGGAAAAGATGGCACAGCGTCACCCTTGCTGGCGCCTCTGCTACTCTCACCTGTTCCTGAGGCCCCTGGCCTCAGGTTGCGCTGACCCCAAGGCAAGTGCCCAGGTGCCTGCCGGGCCACGCTGTGGACTAACCCCGTGGCGTCACCTGCGTGGGACCCCGGCCGCGGGAATCCTGCGGGAATTGCACCTCTGACATTCCAGAGGTGTGTGCGTGCCAAGGGGGAGCATAAGGGGGATTCCCCGAGCGCGGTGCTCCCCCTAACCCGCATGCCAGGAACTCAAGTATTGCGTAAAGTGGGGATGTGCGTGCGCCTTTGCCGTCTACTCTGCAGCCAAATGGCCCGCACTGGGGGCGTCCGCGCTTCTGTGCCCGCGACCACCCCTTCTCCTCCTGCTCCTCGTGGCCACATTCACCAGCCTTCGTCTTGAGCTCCTGGTTAAATTTGGGTATTATTCCAAACCTCTACATAGCCATGGGGGGAAAAAAAAAAACTTGAGCACGTGGACCGCAGGTCCAGCGCCCGCTTCTCCAGCGCGCGCTCAGTAAAAGCCTTGCTCCCGGCGTTTTTGAGCCCGCGCTGCCAAGCGCGCACCGGGAAGCGACTGTCTCCTGGGTTCAGACCCAGCAAGGCGTTTTTGGTGGAAGCCACAGTAGCTCATTATGAGGGGCTGGAGGAGCCATGGAGAGGAATGAGATGGGCCATACAATGAGCCTTTGAAAGAAACAAGAAACTAGGGGTCTGCTGAAAGAGCAACGGGGAAAACCCGGGCACAGGGACTAGCTAAGCGTCACCACGCGGGCTGCAGAGTTGGACTCTTCCACACTGGGGGAAGAGGGGGCCGCAGGGCGGCCAGGAGCTGGGTAGCAAGTTCTTTTGGCCTCGGCATGCTTTCAGACCCTGGTTGGAGCTAGGCACTGGGAGTGTGTCTCTAACCGCTAGCCCGACGCCCACGAATGGGGAGGCAGTTAAGAAAACACCCGGGCATTTTGACAGCACCTGTCGGATCTGGGCGGGCAGGAACAACCGTCCGACGCCTCTCCCCCAGGTTCCGCCACCTCCAGGGACCCTCTACATGCTTCCCTGGACGGAGGTGGGCGACTGTCAAAGAGAGTCCCAACCAGATACCGTGCTCCAGGACAGGCCCCCGCGCGCGCGCTCTCCCAGGGTCCTCAGCGCTGCAGGCGGCAGGGGGCCTGCTGAGGAGCGACGGGTGTGTGGGGAGAGCCGCTGAGAGCGGTGGGCTTGGGGCGGACCGGGGGCGTGCTCCTGCTCACCTCGCTCGCTGGACTGGATGTAGCGTACGATGTCGTCCAAGTCCAAGTCTTTGGCCTCATCGAAACTGTAGGCGGACGTGTGTAAGCCCTCCTCCTGGAAGACCTCGTGGACCCCCTCCAGGGTGAAGTAGCAGTTCCGCTCCAGCTTGTCGTCGCTGTAGACCAGAGCGGCGCGGCTCCACTGGTGGTGGCGGAACAGGGCAAGCATCATCTCGCCCATCTTGGCGTAAGCAGGAGCCACGCGCGTGAGGTGCGAGTACTCGGTGTCCTTCTGCTGGAAGCCGGCGGCCAGTGCCCCGGCCGACAGCATGGGCAGATCCCAGTGCGACGCCAACCGTGCCACAGGCGCAGCCGCGTACTCGCACACCGGCCCCAAGATGAGGTCCGGCTTGGCGCCCCGCGCCGCCGCCACCCGGTCTACCAGGCTGAAGAGCGCACGGTTGCCGCAGTCCGAGTCCTCGTAGGCCACCTGGAAGCGGGTGCCGGGCGGCAGCAGTCGCCGCCCGGTCCCGTTGCCCTCCACGCTGCGCAGCGCGTACTCGATGGCCGGCCGCACCCGGGCCAGAGAGAACAGGTACGAGTCGTCCTGGGGCAGCAGCACCAGCACCTCGATCTTCTGCGGCGGCAGTGCCTCTGCCTCCCGGCGCCCGGCGCCTGGGCTCGCTCCGCGGCCGTCACCGCCACTCGTGCCACCGGCCAGCACCGCCCAGCCGAGCAGGGCGCACGCGGAGAAAGTGAGCCCCAGCAGAGACGGCATCCTGCCGCCAGCAAGCGCCAACCCTGGCGGCCGACTCGCCCTCTGCCCCTCACCCACCCTGCCGCGCCCCTCCCCAGTCTTCTCTCCGAGGTCCCTGCGCCCCCTTGGGCGCTCTAAGAAAACAGAACTCCCCCTTCGCTAACTCGCCAAAAGATAGGAAGAGTCCTTCTGTGCAGTGTCAGTAGTTTAAAAAAAAGAAAAAAAGAAGAAAAAGTTCACTTTGTGTAAACCTGTGCTCCTGTAATGTCTTTATATATAGATACTTATGATATATATATTCGTCCTCCCTATAGATATACTATTTTGCTTAGAGGTGGCTTCTTATTTGGGCGTTGCTGAGATTGCTTTTGAAAGCGTATTTGTAAAAGAAAAAAAAAAAGTTAGACTTGTCCAAGTGCTTGTAATTGACGGTGCATCTCCCTCGCTTTTGATCTCATTGATTCGCGCCGGTTCCTGAATCCATCGCTCGCGTTTAAATAGCGTGGCAGCCGCGGAGCGTGTTGCCACACAAGGCGCGCCGAGGCTGGGCTTGTATTTCCAGCGGGTGGGGTGTTGGGGGTGGGGAGAGGTGGGGGCTAGGCTGGGGGAGCCTCTCATTAACATTCTTACATCAGTGCTCCTCCCCACACCCCTACCCTTCCCACCCCCTCCGGTCCTGACGCCCTGCTCCCCCGCAGCCCCGGCCTTTTCCTTAAAGCCGCAGCCGCCCACGTCTGCACCCAGGGGGGCCTCCCCGCCGCGCACCTCGGCAATGCCCACCTTTCCACGGCCCCGCACGCAGCAGCCCACTCTTCAGCTCCTGGCCTTAAAAAAGGAAATGTTCTTGGAAATTAAAAAAAAAAAAAAAAAAAAGCTCTCACTATATACACGCACACCTGGTGCAAGAAAACAACAGGAGTAGGGAAGGGGTAGCTGTAGAAATGCGGTTTCGGTGCAAAATTCATAGGTCCCGTTCGCCCTCACCTCCTCCTCCTCGCTCTGGCCGCTTTCTCTCCTGACGCGCCGACTCGGAAAAGGCACCGGACCACCCCTGTCCCCCCGCGCGAGCTCAGCGAGCGGAGTCCAAGGGTCTAGTGCAGATGGCTCGACCCGAGACCAGCTAGACGGCCTGCGCGGGACCGGCAGGGGCGGGCCGCCCTCTCCCCCACACCCCCCAGCGCCGGCCCCCTCCCTTCGGTCGCGCCGTTTCGCGCTGGCATCTGTGCGAGGGTCCCGGGGTCCCCTTCTCAGACTCTCCGCTGGCGCGTTGAGAGCACCAAAGCGAAACTTGTTCCCAAAGGTGTGGCCGCGAGCTAGCGGTTGGACTTCTGGAGATGGCAAAAAGCTTGAAAGACATCCCCAACGCGTCCTTGGGACTTTCGTCGCTAAACCAAGTAACTAAAGAAACTGTCTCCTCCAAAACGGTCCCTCGAGGGTTGCCTAGAAGGCAGCTCATCTCCGCTCCATTCCGCGCGCTTGGAAATCCAAACGCCTCTCACTCCTCGTGGGCGCACGAGACCGTGTGCTTGGCGTTCTGCAATGCCAGAGAAGGTCCTGCCTCGGAGACCTAGTCCTGCCACTAGTCCCAGTCACACAGCAGCGGAGACATGGATGGAAACGGTCCCGGAACAGCCTGTGAAGCCGGAGGAGCTTCGCCGGAATCCTCCGCGCAGTGGGGGCAGGTCTAATCGGACGTGGTGACAAGCCCGGGGTTATTTGCAATGCGAAAGTGCTGCATTGGATGGAAGAATTCAGACACCTAAGCCCCGCAAATTAAAATAAATTGAAAATGTTTTTAAATGTTCTTTCATTTGACTGGGCTTTGGTGTCCACAAATTTCTAACAGTCTTAGACCAACGCCCTCTTTCGGCAGAAACTTGCACCCTGCTGGTAACCCGTGTGCCACCGCCCCGCCCCGTGCTGCATTTTTTGACTCAGGGGCCAAGAAGAGCTCTGGCTTTCATTTGTGACGGTGAGAAGGCAAACTGGGGGTTCCAGAGATGTGGCAGCTTCTAATATCAGCGTTCGCCACATTTCCTAGCACCCACCTTCTGTCTCTTTCTGGCACTGTGAATGCAGTTGTGGGTAATGCTTCATCTTCTGGGTCATTTCGATTTCAGGTTATACACTGTGATCCCTGAATCTTCACTGTAAATTGTTGTTGTTAGTTGCTGTGGAATCTCTTCCGAGTCATGGCCACCCCGTGTGTGCAGAGTAGAATTGCTCCGTAGAGTTTTTCTAGGCTGTGACCTTCCGGAAGCAGATCGCCAGGCCTGTCTTCTGAGGCCCTGGGGTGGGTTTGAACCACCAAGTTTAATTCTACCAACAGCGTGATCAAGGCAGTCGAGAGAGTCTCACAGCAGCCTGTTAGAGGAAGGCAGACATTTTATGGGATCACAGATATAAAAGAAGAACAAAGGCTAAATCCCCAATTCCAGAAGTCGAAATTAATGAATTTCAAAGCTTGTTGCCAGGAGACGTGAAGAAACACAGGGTTTCCTATTTCTCCTGGCTGTGCCCTGTGTCACGGAACGCGGGGCAAAGGTGATACGCTTCTGCCCAGTGTGTGATGAGGGCTTATGCGGAGGGCGTGAACGCCTCTCCCCTCCCAGGCGCTGCCCCGCCTCGCCCGAGGGTCAGGAGCAGAACAGTGCGTTTCTGTTTGTCCAACGACTGCAGCCTCTCTGTGACCTTTGGGTAGGAGCTCTTAACTTCCAGCAGGCCGCTCAGGAGCATCGACAAGATGAAGCTGTGGGAGCAAAGCGCCCCCAAACCAAACAGAAAACTAGACAGAAAAGCCAGTGCTCAATATGCCGCCCATAAAATGTCCAATGAGCAGAAATTGGGATTGTTTGAAAATAGGCACCAAATTATGGGAAGACTCACCAAGTAGTATCCTCATGTGGATTTGAATGTTAGGGATGTACTTACTTTGATCCAATTAGATTTCTCACAACTACGTGAAAATTTGTGTAAATGTCAAGGAATTCTACAATTTTACGGTTGAAAAAGACCCTGGAAGTCATTCCCCTGACATCCCTCACTCTGTAGACAGAGAACTGAGGCCCAAAGCATGTAAATGACATATCTAAATACCTCAGCCTCTGAGAACATTTTTAATGGGACTGGATTGGAAATAAACCATGTCCCACCTATTCTACCATCTAGAAAATGGTTGAGGGCAAGCTACCTCCCACTTTTAAATGATAACCTTTTAATATTAAAATGTTATATGTAGTCTAGTCTTGAGGCTCTATATAGGAGCCCTGGTGGCAGAGTGCCTAAAGCACTTGACTGCTAACCAGAAGGCTGGCAGTTCAAACCCACCAGCCACTCCTCAGAAGGAAGGTTGGGCAATCTACTTCTCTATGATACCGCCTCCGAAACCCAAGGAGGGGTCGCTGTGAGTTGGGTCCAACTCAATGGCAAATAACAACAAACAACAACATAGCACAACAAAACTGAAAATTAATAAGAATGCATTTTATAATAGAATCTTTTTTTAATCACAAAGATAAACCAAAACCAGAAAGATGGAAAAATAGAAAAGAAATAGAGACAACTCATCTGTAAGGATCAATTATTAAATATTCTTCCTTTCAATTTTGTAAAACATTCAAATGGGCGGAGCAGACTTTTTTTTTAACATTCAAAAGAATGCTCGTTTCTTTACTGATTGCCTCCTTTTGGGCTAATATTATTAATAAAATATTAATATTAATTAATATTTCTTAATAAAAATTAAGAAAAGTTTTGGGAAAATTCTGCAAAAGAAACATGAAATTAGTCAATTGAAACTTAGACAATGCTAGCCCTATACGTAATATTCCAGAAACCAACAGGCATTTTATAGAATTTAAAAACAGTTTCATTAATATCCACAACCTGGATTTTTTCACCTTTAAGCTACTAAAATAAGGTGGCAAGTTTTCCAGAAAGTATTTAACTTTGTTTTTGGACTCTGAAATGAAACTTAGTATCTCTATCATTCTTCTCTCACCAGGAACTGTAGCTTTATACAGGGAAATTCAACATGTGATTCTGTATAATGTGTTTGAAAAGCAATCAGGAGGAAGTTTTCTCCACCAACTGTAATATGCCATAGATCCCCCCTCCCTGAGAATCCTGGCTACAATATCTAACATAAAAACCCACCCAGATTTTCAAGAGAGCTGCTGCTTCTCCCTGGTGGAACCTGCCCTCAAGTTATGTTTAAGAACACCCCTGGGAAGCCTCTAGCCCGCAAAGAAAACACTTCTGGGGACAGAATCCTTGAAAACACACTTCCCCCTAGAGGCAGAAAAGATGAAAGAATATTGCACATAATTCAAGAACATTTCTGTAATTGAAGGAATGTTAAGATTTTCTTTTTAATGTATAGTTGATATTTTAGAGGGAACCATTGGAGACAAGAGGGAAAAATCAAAGGATGCCAAAAAAATTAAAATTTTGCTTCCAAGTTTTAGCTTTCCTTAGCAGGGACTCTGTTACTTGACCCCTTTTCTTCTATTATGCAAATCTATGAATGTTTGTCATCACCATGAATAATAGCAATTATATATATATTTTAAATTTAAATGTATGAGTAAATTAACTTCAGGAACTGAAGTTAAATGTGGCCTTGAGGAATTCTTTCGGAAACACGGCTCTGGCAGATGTATCTCCTTATGATCCGTATGATTCTCTTAGGTTTCCGTTATTTTTTTGAAGATGTTCTTTCTGAGGCAAAATGACATTAGAAAGACTTTCTAAGAAATGTCTAGCTGACCCGTGATTTAATCTGAGTACCTGTGTAAGGGGGTCCCTGCTTGGCACAAGTGGTTAGGCGCTGGACTACTAAGCCAAAGTTTGCAGGTGCAAACCCACCAGAGGTACCTTGGAGGAAAGGCCTGAGAACCTGCTTCCAGAAGGTCACTGCTTTGAAAACCCAGTAAAATGCAGTTCTGCTCTGCAACACACGAAGTTGTCATGAGTCAGAATCAACTAGTCTGGGTTGGGTTTGGTTTTATTGTTTAGTAGTATGAGATTGTGGAGGATTAGCAAACTACATGAAAAATTCTTGTAACATTGACATTTAGAAAAGTGATTTAGCATAGATTATTATATTCACAAAAATAAATGCACGTGCCTCAACTTTATTCATACCAATCCTAATGATATTTAATGGGTTTATTGTACTCTACACTACAATGTTCCTGAAAGAATTTGGGATGGCACATAAATACGAAAGACCGAACTGTACAACATTTTCTTCATAGCAACATTCACGATCATTGAGTCTTGCTGTCTTGGGTCCTGCTTTCTCCCTGAAGCCTTTACTAATGACCCCAAGCCTCAGAAAACTTCTCTCCAGTCTGAGTTTCCACAGAAAGAAAAAGAATGAAAGGTTCTTGATCTAAATTTTACTTCCATTTACAAGGAAGTATGTCTGGGTTGGAATCCAGAAACCTCACAAAGG